ATAACTGGCCACGTATTAATTGAAATATGGAAGGCAAATATGTTCGACTGAAGTAACCATTCTATTCAGATATCGGATACTAGAAATACTTCAAAAACACTCAAGTTCTTCTTCAGTCAAACGCTGTACTAGAATTTTGATACCATCCTTATCACGACTTGTCAACTTATTCTAGTGCAATATCATATAGTGCTTAAAGAGACATTCGTCGATGGTCAATTATCGGTTTGTTATTTTCTTTCTGGCTCTTTTGTTTGGAGGGAGCAAGGGGCGAGCGAGGGGCGACTGGCGGAGGGTGGGAGGGGATCGACTCAACTCCTCTATCGTAGAGTTGCTAAAAAAAGGAATTATGGGTGTGGCAATCGTCGAAAGTCAATATTTTGTCTTCTTTGTTGCTTGGCGCTTTCTTTAAGTGGATGGGTCGTGTTTTACTCTTTACTCAACTATGCTACTCTTTAATGTGTGCAGATTTTGAGGCAAACCATTTTACGCTTCGTACATATTTTAAAGTCGTTTTCTACCCAGCATTCTTGCAAATTGCTTAAAAAGTTATCTAAAACACCTAAAAGCTAAGATTTCATTGTGTCAGTTCTTTAATTCCTTAGAAAGAAGTCAACAAAGTATCGATGCAAGGAAAACTAGAAACCATGTTTGAATTTGTTTCGGATAACACTAGAGTTATCTGGGGACTCTATCTTTTAATTTTATCCACAGTGGGATGAAAATAGAGCTGTAATTAACTCCCTTTGTGGCTTAACACATTATTTGAGGTCAAAGGTCAGGAGAATAGTTATAAATACTAGTGTTACATGACGTCATAACTATTTACTTTTGACGTCATCTAATGTCTCTTTAACATATATTTTTTTAAACCGATTCGCAAGTCTTATGACAATTTAGCATTAACAGAACGCTGCAGATAACGTCCTACTCTTCTGCTCAGACTAACATAAGGTTCAGTTTTATTTCAATAATTCGCTTTCGCGTCGGAGTCTTTAGCAGTGGGAGGAAACCGGAAGACCCGGAGAAAACCCACGAGGTTGTCACGTACAACCAGGGAATCGAAACCACGCCAGTTGACTCAATGACAGGCCTTATGATACAGCGCGCAAGTGCTAACCATTCGCCCCCCACCCCCGGAAACTAATAAAACAATCCTTTCAAAACGTATCAAATATTCCAAAATAGCTTTTGAGAGATGGATTAGCGGAGACGCTATAATTATACATTCTTATCTTCTGGGAGAAAATTGGCGGGTTCCATAACTCTGAAGTATTTAATAACCAGTTTGTTAGAAAAATGCAACAGGCAAAGTACAGTTCGTAAAAACTGATAACGCGATTAAAAACAAACGTGGTGATTAAACGCCAACAACTCTCATAAATAAAACGACAAAAAATAGTTTCGTTTCTTTTTATGAAAAATAATACAGACGGTAATTTAAAAAAAAAATACACGCAATATTGTTATTAAAAAACAAACATAACACATGGCGTGTCATTCATAGGTTACTTCCTTGAAAACAATTGGAATGCGGAGCTAGGCTATTACGCGTAATAATACCTATTGTGCATAAGCTGTAACCGCATTAGCTATTACAGATTTACTTCACAGAAAATCAAAATTGGCGGAAGGATATATTTTTTATCAGGCTCGAACATTCAGAATCCAAACTACTCTTATAAAAGACTTTTATTTTATAAATATGGTCCACATATTATGTGTCTTGAAACTTGTAACATATGGACCAGTTGAATTTCGTTTGGTTTTTGTTTTTTTGGTTTTTGTTTTTGTTGGTGTGGGGGATGGCCGAATGGTCTGTCATTGAGTCAGCTGGCGTGGTTTCTAATCCCCGGTTGTACGTGACAAGTAGAGTCGTCTCTCCAACCTCGTGGGTTTTCTCCGGGTCCTCCAGTTTCCTCCTGCTGCTAAGGATCCCTACGCGCAAGCAAATTCTTTAAATAAAATAGAACCATATGTTAGTCCCGAAATGACCTGGTTTGTGCCGAGTGGACGTTAAACCCTCACTCTCTCTCTCTCCTCTCTCTCTCTCTCACACACACACACACATTCTCTGTGTAACATATGAAAAGAGAGCGTTGGATGTTGCCACTGCAGGAAAACCAATGATATTCACTTCCAGTAGAACTTCGTTTTTGAAATTCCTTTGTTAATCTTTGGACAAAGGACGTTTGCTGTTGCCACTGCTGCAGGATGGAATTCACTCCCGGTTGAACTGCGTTTTGTGACTACTTCAATCTTCAATTCTCGATTCTAAATTTTTCTTTTAAAAATTTACTGCAAATTTACTCAGAACCAAAGAACATTTGTATTTTGTTGTGTATGCGTTATGAGCATGTTTCATGTATTTGGTGATATATAAATGGACACATTATTATTATTATTATACCATTTCAATTTTTCTTACGTTTCACAAAACAGATTTAAGAGAATTTAATTACACGGCGTAGGCAAAGAGTCTTTAATAATTCGGTTCTTTCAATGGTGTGAGATATTAGAGCGCTTTGAAGATGTTCGCCGGTCGATAAAAAAAACTTATGTTCCAGAGAGAGAGAGGGAGAGAGAGAGAGAGAGAGAGAGGGAGAGAGAGAGAGAGAGAGAGATCGCAAAATGGGGTTTAACGTCCACTCGACACAAACTAGGTCATTTCGGGACTAACATATGGTTTTATTTTATTTCAATAATTCGCTTACGCGTAGGGTTCTTTAGCAGTGGGAGGAAACCGGAAAATACCTATCAAAGAAGTTGTCGAAGTTTTAAAAGTGTATCAACAACCAATTTATATACGACAGCCTTAAGATCGATTATAAAATATGGAAGCCGGCGTTAAGAATCACGGAACAAACAAGCGAACCATTTTATAACTTCAGTATATTTTCTGACGATCACATTGTGCACCGAATGCTGCTCATTAATTAGACATTTAATTTTTAAATGTTCATTAGATATTTAATTTGTTAATTGTTTATTAGATATTTAATTTGTTAATTAGATATTTAATATTAGATATTTAATTTGTTAATTGTTCATTTGATATTTAATGTTAATTATTCATTAGATATTTAATTTGTTAATTAGATATTTAATTTGTTAATTAGATATTTAATTTGTTAATTGTTCATTTGATATTTAATTTGTTAATTTTTCATTAGATATTTAATTTGTTAATTTTTCATTGTTACTACTGTTAACATAAATTCGTATTCAGATTTAAGTTGTTCGTGGGGGGGTTTTATGGTAACAATTCTCCAGGTTACAGCCCTATATCGTCGTTGAAGTGTCAAAAGGGTGTATCTAAGAATTTCTAGAACCTTTTGCATTTCAAAATTTCCATGATACCCAGAATAGTTCTAATTGGCGTAGAAATACACAGCTTAGACATAAATGTGCATATTAATTGGGAGATTTTAAAAATGCAAAAAAAAGTGTATTTGACTAATTTCCCGAGATACACCCTTTGGACACTTCACCGACGATATACAAATTACCTCCCCACGCCCTGGAATGACCTGCTAGTCATAATAAGAGAGAGAGAGAGAGATGGGGTTTAACGTCCACTCGACACAAACTAGGTCATTTCGGGACTAACATATGGTTTAATTTTATTTCAATAATTCGCTTGCGCGTAGGGGGTCTTTAGCAGTGGGAGGAAACCGGAGGACCCGGAAAAACCCACGAGGTTGGACAGGCGACCCTACTCCTTGTCACGTACAACCGGGGATTCGAAACCACGCACGTGCTAACCACTCAGCCATCCAACCCCCCGTCATAATAAGAATATAATAAACCGGTAGTGCCAGACAATGATAGAGAAAAACAATGAAAGACCGTATTGAAACCTTTTACTATTGTGCTATTAAAGATCAATATGAACGTTATTAGAAATCAACGAGGCGTTGAATATTGCATACGTTTTCTAAGTATTCCTTTTGTTGTATGACTTTTTAATATATGTAATTACTAGTAATTGCAATTTATACCTCTCAGACAACGTTTACGCATGTCTCCTAAATAACACACAAACACCAAAAGTAAATTACGAAAACACTAAAAGCCTTTATAGGTATCACGGAGATAAGGCCAAGCCGTGTTCCAGATAGTTTGCCTAATTTTCAGAAATATTTACGGAATCGATTCGTTTTGAATTGCGCTTATATCGGATGGAAGATAATGGGCTTACAGACTGTTCTATAACAATTTCCAATGTAAAACGACGAACATAAAATCCATGATATAACTTGAAAGGATCATTGTAATGGTAATATTCACGAAAAATAGCAAAACATATATAGGATTGTTTCTTGATTGACAGCTTTGATCATCAAGGCGTACTGACGTGGAAACTCATGCGTTTTTGTCTTAAAATTCAATATCTTCTCCAAGTGAAACGTATATATAATTTAATTGTGTCGTTTTCTTGTATAATTATCTGTTTTGTTAATGTTTTGCTTAGAAGTTCTCGAGTTTTCTTTGCGATACGAGTTTCAACTCAATGCTTTTATTTGTTTAGAGTTGTAAAATTTACTGAAACCCTAAAAATTCTGATTATGAACGTCAACTTTGTATATCTTCGTTATCCTCAAAACACATTCACAAATAAAATCAAATTACCACAATGTACAATTTTATGGATGGATACACAAGGTACAATTTTATGGATACACAATTACTGAGTTTAATACTGCTACTATTCACATAACTGTATCATTTGCTTGATGAAGACGAGAATTGCCTCGTCGAAACGTCGCTTAGCCATAAGTTTTAATTGTATTTGATTGTTATTTTTGTTGCATATTCTGTATATATTTGTCTACTATTCACATACCTGTATCAGTTGCTTGATAAAGACGAGAATTGCCTCGTCGAAACATCGCTTAGTATTAAACTCAATAATGGCGTATCCAGAAATTTGTACCATGTGTTAGTATGTAAATTTAAATGATTGATAATTACAAGAGATAAAGCATAAATATACTTACGTTCAGCGATTGGTGATTTTTTGATCCAAGCTTTGTTAGGTATTGAGATGGGAACAGATATAGACTTGGATGTCATTTTGTCATTACGGGAAAAATGAATAGCTCGCTCGTTAGTTTTGTCCACAGTTGGCGTTGCTAATAAGCCCATAATTCGCTAAAACGTCAAATGTTCCGAGTCCAAAATAATTGTCTTTCACACAATATAGTTTCTGTTTGAATGAACTTTCACAAAAGATAACCAGCGGAACTCATCAACACTTTATCGCCAAGTTCCTGATATTAAGGAATGGATATAAAAAGGAATATCAATGGAAGTCAAAAATACATCCACCGCCCACGTGTTCTGAAGAGAGTGACTGCTTCGTTCATCAGCTATATTTTGCAATTAAGAACCTGGCAAGACCGCGTCACACAAATCCTAACTGGCCTGGTCAATTAGTGAAAGAAAAGGTGTGCGTGTCCAAACGGCATGGCCCGTGATATTAATTAACAAGACAATCGTACTTCCGTCCCGACATCTAGACAATAACTGTTCATAACAGAACTTTGTCAATAATACTCTCAACTTGTATTCATCGCCTGATCACTTGAGCTATCGTTTGCTAGAATGAGATAAGATCCATACTCAAATGGTTTTGTAATATACAGCAGAGTGTGCCAACCAATTAGCTTCCCATCTGATATAACGGTTCTAGCCAACAGCTTCCACAAGTCTACGCTACTGTTTCCCCTCCAACTCTGGGCGTTTTAAACATCAAATACCTCTCGACGGCAGTTTCTTGTAAGCGGCTGATTCGCTAACTCGCTAGATAGTAAACCTTGACGGCAATTTACTGGGACTCTATCGATTTTTCGCCGATATTGTAGCACAGAGTGGTGACACTCGTCTTCAAGATTAAAACAATATGATATAGAGGGTTTATTTTACTAATAGATAGAGTAATTTAGTGTTTATTAAAACGATGCAGGATTGTATATCAACAATTATCCATGCAATAGTTGAAAGGTTCATGTCGTGACCAAACGAAAAACTCATGAATAATAAGATCGATGATCTATTTCGATTAGTCATGTAATATGATAGTCAAATATTTGAGCAAAAGTTAAATTGGGAAAAAAGAATTGCACGAACTCGTGATCTCTTGCCCAGAAATTGCTCGTGAATTATTTTTTTTGTTCACAATTTGGTAAACTTATGCAAAGTTTGCAATATAATCATATTTTTTTTTTCTATATGTATAATTTTGATATTTATGAGTTGAATGATATGATGTATCGTCATTATTGGAAAATATTTCTTTAAAAACTCGAGATCTCTTGCCCAGAAATTGCTCGAGAATTATTTTTTTTGTTCACAATTTGGTAAACTTATGCAAAGTTTGCAATATAATCATATTTTTTTTTCTAAATGTATAATTTTGATATTTATGAGTTGAATGATATGATGTATCGTCATTATTGGAAAATATTTCTGTAAAAACACACAATTAAATTCATTTGTTTTTATTTTCTTTAACTCGCAAAATCAACTAGGCTATCAATCAATATTCATAGCCTTTCGTGACTTCTAAAATATACTCTTCCAAAAAAGTAGGGGAAAATGCACAGCTGTTTTTATTAGAGGTAACCAGTGTATGTTAATAACAGACCAATTGTCTATACATGAACATAAACAGTTCATAGAGGCGGCTTATCTGACGGCCCCATTTCACTCGCAAAGAGATACACTGTCAAAAGTGAAAATGGACGTTTTTGATTTTTGTCTTAATGAGTAATTGCTCCACCAATCCTCGGACATTCAGCAGTTCGTCGTGGCATGCTCCTAATCAACCGTCCAATCACGATTTGGGGCAATCTGACCCACTCCTCTTGCAGTGCCACGGCCAATTCTTGCAGTGTTGTCGGTTGACGTTGACGTCGACGAACACGTCTCCCGATCAAATTAAACGTAACACACTAAAGCAAAGATACGCTAAACAGTAAATCTTATGCAAGAACCGATAGGAATGCTAACATGGATAGATAAACCAGCACGCGGCAGTTTTCATCAACCCTTGCTTGAAGTGTCAAATTTGACAACGAACCCCTCCCACGTGTATGGCGCTATTGAGTGTCGCATGTGCAGCTCAGTGGTTCTGTTGGGGCGATAAGTTCTTCATCTGTGAACATGTCACCAGAGCATGTCAAGTGTCCATGACTATTTATCATATCACAACCTGCATAGGAATTTGCATTTCAATATCCCCAACTTTTTTTAAGAGTATATTTTGAAATATTTAAATATTCCTATCAGGAACAGATATGAATATACAAGTCATCTTCTAAAAGCCAAATTAAATATATCGCAAGTTCCAACTAGTGGGGGGGGCGAATGGTCTGTCATTGAGTCAACTGGCATGGTTTCGATTCCTCGGTTGTACGTGACAAGGAGTAAGGTCGACTGTCTAATCTCGTGGGTTTTCTCCCGGTTCTCCGGTTTCCTCCCACTGCTAAAGATCCCTACGTGCAAGCAGATTATTGAAATAAAATTGAATCATATGTTAGTCCTGAAATGACCTAGATTGTGTCGAGTGGCCGTTAAACTCTCTCTCTCACTCTCTCTGTCTGTCTCTCTCTCTCTCTCTCTCTCTCTCTCTTCTGCTCTAATGTTGATGTATTACAAAATGCAGATAGAGTAACAAAATGGCGACTATAGCCACAGGTGGCAGCCTTTCTTTATCTGGTTATAGATGTGTGTAATTGTACTAATATTGGCAATAACCAGGTGAGAAAATATAGATAGATAACATGTTTTTCTGTTAGGTTTTTTTTTTCGAATAGATGTGACGTAAACATGTTTGTGGCTAACCTCAGTGTAATAAACATAATGAAATGAAATGGGGTTTAACGTCCTACTGTTCTTCTCCGAACTCGGCTAATGAAGTCGGACATACGCCATTCAGTGTGCTATGAGGGAAATTTTATCCGGACAGCGGCACTACGACCTACTCTTATATCGAATTCCAACTGCCAAGGAATCTTTTACGTGCACGCCAAAGTGTACACGGGTCCTCGGTTTTTCGTCCCATCCGAACGACTAGACAGCTGTCCTTGTCAGGCCCTCCATCCTGCATCACTGACAAGGGGGAATCAACGCCGGAAAATCTGGATGAACTTTCTCGGCCAATGCAGGGATCGAACACCCGACCTCCAGGCTAGCGAGCTAGCGTCTTACCCACTCAGTCACGTGATCCCCCAAGTCCCGATGAACCTTCTCGGCTAACACCGGGATCGAACCGACGACCTCCAGCTAAATCTCTAACTCAATATTATCCAAAATCTTCGACATTGAAAACACGAATTATTTGTCAATTTAAATCAACATTGATGTTGTGATCTTACCGGGAAAAGATGGACTTTTGATATCCAATATTTAAGACAAAATAAACATTTTACCATTAGTACACGAATCGTGTACTAGATTGTGTTTCAGCGCCATTTGTAACAAGGGACTCGAAGAACGCGGCTAGACATATTCCACACGTTATCTGGAGAGAATGCACAATAAATACTATCGGTGTAGAATGGAATAACCAGACACAAGAGATTGCAATTCGATTGAGACTTCTGGCGTATTTCGTGGAACATACGGGGGGGGGGGTCTGAATGGTTAGCGTGCGCGCGCTGTATCATAAAGTATGTCATTGAGTCGACTGGCGTGGTTTCGAATCCCCGGTTGTACGTGACAAGGAGTAGGGTCGCCTGTCCAACCTCGTGGATTTTCTCCGGGTCCTCCGGTTTCCTCCCACTGCTAAAGACCCCTATGCGCAAGCGAATTATTGAAATAAAATTAAACCATATGTTAGTCCCGAAATGACCTAGTTATGTCGAGTGGACGTTAAACCCCATTTCTCTATCTCTCTCTCTCTCGTCGAACATAACTGATTAGAAATTACAGTCAAAACAGAAGCGATTGAATGTATATACATTCATGTAACATTATTATATGCGTTGCGACCCATTTGTGTCCATTTCTAGGTCCCAATTATTAGCGATTCAGCCCCTTTAAGAAGAGACAACTCCCTCTGGAGACTATTTTAAAGTAAGTGTTAAACAATATAATGAGCATTAAGCATTTTACTATAAACTATTTATTCCGACCAGACTTCCAATCTATTTTAAATAAGATTACAATATTTATTTCGTTTATTTCTATGATTGCTATAAACTACATTAAAGCGGCATAAGGTGCGATATTAGAGAGAGAGAGAGAGAGGTTTAACGTCCACTCAGCACAAACTAGGTCATTCAGCACAAACTAGGTCATTTCGGGACTAACATATGGTTCAATTTTATTTCAATAATTCGCTTGCGCGTAGGGGCCTTTAGCAGTGGGAGGAAACCGGAGGACCCGGGGGAAACCCACGAGCTTGGACAGGCGACCCTACTCCTTGTCACGTACAACCGGGGAATCGAAACCACCCCAGTTGACTCAATGAGAGGTCTCATGATACAGCGCGCACATGCTAACCATTCGGCCCCCCACTACCCCCGCCCCCACCACCCCAGATTAGATAAAGAGCTGATAGTTCTCGCTATAGTAGTTAAAAATTATAATAATTAAATAATACATAATGAAAAGAGGATATTTTGAAATTTTCAGTCAAATTACTTCACTCTGAGCCAAGGTATCGAAGATTTAATTATAGGGTATTTTCGATTGTCATTAATACCGTTGTTACGATAAGAAACAAAGTCTCGATTATCGATTTTTACGGTTACCGCATCCACCACAAAACGTATTTGAATCCAATAAATAACGCAGGCATCTGATGCCATCGAGATTTGATTAGGGTCTTTATAATATTAAAATGTCTAATTAATAATTTATATAACATGTCAGGACTAAAAAAAGACGTTCAATTGGCAGATTTAGCTCTTGCATTTATGCATTTTTTATGCAAGTTCGTAGATATGGACCAGGAACCAATCCTGACGTCGTCGCCGCCATTTTCTCTAAGAATAATGTAATTTGTTTGTAATTTTCAATACAGTCATTATCTAGGGGGGGGGAGATGGCCGAATGGTTAGTACGTGCGCGCTGTATCATACGGTCTGTCATTGAGTCAACTGGCGGGGTTTCGATTCCACGGTTGCACGTGACAAGGAGTAGGTCGCCTGTCCAACCTCGTGGATTTTCTCCGGGTCTTCCGGTTACCTCCCACTGCTAAAGACCACTACGCGCAAGCGAATTATTGAAATACAAAATTGAACCATGTGTTAGTCCCGAAATGACCTAGTTTGTGTCGAGTGGACGTTAAACTCTCTCTATCTCAAGCAGTAATTGTATTCCATAGAATTGTGACAAGTATAACCTCGATCTAAGACTTACATAATGTTTCGCGAATTCCACAAATAATAGACGTAAATATGTGTTTATATCTTCCAGCGTATTTAACGAAGCTATAAATCTTCATTATAAATTTAAAACAATTTTATTAGACAGTATTATTTGTTTATCTGGTCTGCAGGTATTTAAAAAATTTAAAAATGAAATGGGGCTTAACTTCCTGGGGAGTCGCGGTGGCTCGCTAACCTGGAGGTCCCGACGTTGGCCGAGAAGATTGGTTGATATTTTCCGCCGTGGTCCCCCTTCCCTTGTGAACAGTAGGAAGTTAAACCTCATTATCCCAGTTGGGACAGAACAGTAGGGCGTTAAACCTCATTAGCCCAGTTGGAACAG